GCAGCCTTGAGCCTCTCGTTCTCCTTAATCAGTTGTTCCACCTGGTCCTGAAGGGCCTCGGTAGTGTTCTTGGGCATCTGATCGCGTAGGTGGTCAATACGTTCAGCAAGGCGACCCAAGCCCTTGCGTTTCTCATCCCAATCGTCCTTGAGAGAAGCAGGATGAAGGTGACCGATGATGCGGGCGATGTCAACATCAGAGCTCTTGAAGATCTTCCGAGACAGGGAAGACCAGAGGTAGGCCTCTTGACGATTCCTGAATCCCTCATATTGTACCAACCTGCCGTTTGCGACAAGCCGTAAAGTCCAGTTCTCCTGCTTGCGACTGAGGACGTCGATGAGACGTACATCCTCGATGGGTTTGTGGTCAATATGAAGATCACGACTCCAAGCTGTGGCGACGACTCGACGAGGGAAAGTCAGTTTGTACTCCTGCTGCCGATCCAAGTAAATGTCATCAGGGGACCAGGCCTTGGGGATTGGGTAGCGGGTCTCAAAGGATGTAGTTGAAGGAGGAGTTTCAACAGGGAGGCCCGTAGATTTCCTGCGTGGAGAGCGGGAACGGCGGGAGGTGCGACGATCACGTTGTTGTTGTTGAAATTGAAGTCGGAGTTGACGAAGTTCCTCAGCCTCAGAGGCAGGGAGGGCCGTAAGTGGTGTAGCCGGAGGAGGTTGAAATGCCTGTGGTGGAGTGGTAGGTCGTGGAATTGAGGCGGAATCGGGAGGTGTGGGTTGTGGATGGGGTCGATCGCCAGGTCCAGGTAGTAGTACCAAAGGGGGCGCCCCCGAAGAGTCCCGGTCAGAAGGAGGATGAACGGAGGCAGGAGGCGAGACGGGTGTGTCGTGCGAAGTGGCACGAGGTGTTGAATGAGGTGTTGGGTGGTCTGCCCGTGCTCTGCCGCGATGGTGGCTGGAATGGCAAGATCTGGAACGTGTTGTGGGAACGTTGGAGGTGCGACGATGTTCTTGTGGTTCCCGAGGCTCTCGTTGGTGTGTGCGAGAGCGGTGTCGCCGAGAATGGGAGCGACGACTGTGACGGTCGTCCCGTCGGGAGCGTGATGCTGCAGGTGTGTCGATGTCCACGGTGTCGGCGAGAGTGGACAGAGCGGCTCCTGGGAGAACGTCGTCGATCATGGTGTCGTGTAAGTGGTGAACGTGTCGTTCGTGATGTGCGATGGTCGCGGTGAGAAGATTGCCTGGGGTGTGGTCGTGGTGCATATGGATTGTGGGGCGGTGGGCCCGTGGCACGTGGGTGAGAAAGTGGAGGCCGTGGGCGTGGTGCTTGGACGCGTGGAGGTGGGAAGAATGGAACGGTAAGATGTGCAGGTGGAGTGGGTGGAAAGGTAGGAGTGGATTGTGAACGAGTGGAGGAAGTCTGGGGAGGAGGAGGGTGTGAGGGTGGAGCGGAAGTGGTGATGTTGTGGTGAGTAGAGTCGCCCGTGGTGGGATCAGAATGTGGTGGTGGATCTGGAATGCCGCGTGCAATTTCCGTGCCGGGTGGCAAGGGAGTGACCTCGTCAGCGTCATAATCACCTGAGCAGGAGGTCTGGTATCCCTGGAGCGAGAACTGCGGCGAAGATCACGTCGTGAATGAGGACGAGTAGATTCCAGAGAAGAACTCGCCATGAGGTCAGAAAACGCCCGGAGATAAAGGTAAAAGGAATAACACCATGCAATTGGAGTGACAAAGATGAAATTCAACGTGTAGAGATGCAATTCAACGTGTAAAGATGCTTTCCACAAGGTCTAGAGCCATAAAGAAAGAAAGAGAAGGAAATACCATGTGAAACTGAAAATACAGATCAGAGATAGAAAGTGTAAACAGAATGAGTCATACAGTGCAATACAGTCCTTTTGTGCTGTCTGGCAAGGTGTGAGGTGAAACTGAGAGGCTAGGATCTGGTCGTTCGAGGGCGAGAGCGAGATCTCGAGCGTATGTGAAGACGAGGTCATGGTACATGGCAAAGGCGTCCAGACAGTGGTGTTGTGGGTCCTGGTAGTTCGCGATGAAGTCGTAGTAGAGTGAGGCGCGCCAGTTTGTGCAGAGAGGGGTGCCCGATCGCCAAAGTCGGTGCGGCCTTCAAGTTCGTCTTCAAGTTGTTCCGGGCTCTGTTGAATAATATGAAGGAGGCCCAGGGCGGTAAGGAGCTCATGGGTGTAGTGCACAGCGGCGTGGTTGAGACGAAGAGCGAGGAGGAGCGTATTGTCCAAGCCTTCAAGGTGAGCTCGAAGTTGTGGGTGTGTCACCCGGGACATGAACGGAATAGTGCGAATGCTGAGTGGGATGTGGAGTAATGCATGGACCTGGGCCAGGGGGACATGTACGAGTAGAAGTTCACGATGTAGCATAGCCTGAGCACGAGGGGGAAGACCTGGAATCGGTGCAAAACCACAAAGCGGTATAGATGTCGAAGCCATGGCAGGAAAGGCAATAAGGGACACGGGAGCAAGACGAGCAGTCGCTAGCGAGCCGAAGAGACAATAGGAAAAGAGATAGGAGTAACGTCAATGAGATAACAGAAGGACCAAGTGAGAGTGGGCGATCAATCATAAAGCAGAAAACAGTGGATAAGGAAAGCTTTTCTCTGCAAAAACTAAGTGGTTCGGTTGGTGAGAAATCGGCTAGAGTCTGAATCTTCGCGGAGGAGATCGTGACCGAGAGGGCGAATGAGAACTTGGCATCCTCGTCAATGTTGTAGGTGGAGCCGAAGGAGTCAGAGAAGGAGGAGGGGCTAGAGGAGGAGAAGGATCCGTGGTCGTAGTCATCGTCGTCGCCACAGGTGGAGAAGGAGGAGAGGGAAAGAGGATAAGCGAGTGTCTGGGTGAAGAAAAGGATGGAGGAGAGGAGACCGATTGGCCAATAGGATGTGGAAATGCCAAAGTGGAGCATAGTGCATCGGCGTAGACCAATGTAGTGCAGGTAGAGCGTCGAATCTGTTCAATGCTGGTCTCCAGTGCACGAAGGGTAGCGCTGAGACGAGGGCAGGTGATCGTGTCCACAATGGAGGGAGTGACGGAATCCAAAGGTCCACGTAAGATCAGAAGAATCAAGTGTAAAGAAGAGTGTATGTGAAGGAGTTCACGATGAAGTACTTCATGAGCAGCAGCAGGTAGGCCAGCGATGGAGGCCAATCCCGTAGGTCTGGTCGGGGTCGTCGTGGATGGCATCGACATGGCGGCGAAAAGGAGCGAGGAGTGCAAGCTCGAAGGGGTGAGGTATCGGGCGTGAGAAAGCTGAGAGCCACACGAAATAAATGTGTAGAGTTGTAAGAAAATGTCGCTAGGCACAGGAGCACGTTGGAAACATAAAAGGAAGGACGGACATTTTCACTCGTGATTGGAAGAGTGAGCGAAAGAGGTATCTAGAGATTAACTAGAGTTCAAACGAGGGTGAGACCGAGAACGTGAAGGTGCTGTACTGGATCGATTAATCACAGGTCGATGCGGAGTACGAATGGTAGGGGTCCTCGGTGGCGGAATCGGTGACGCCGCCGGAATAGAACTGGTAGATGTCATACTTCGAGTCGTAGTCGGGCCCAAAGAAGAAACAGGAAAAGATGGAAGGCGGGGGTCTGAAGGTAGAGCATCCACGTAGTTCAGCATCCACTTGAGTCGTGTCGCAATTCAAGGCATGCATCATCCCAAAGGTGGTGAGGAGTTCTTGGATATAGTGCACACCATTGTGGATAGCCTGGGTCGCCTGTCGAATCGCAGAGTCCAGACCTCGAATTTGTAGCTGAATATGTGGTGAGGTGGTGTGGTCCATAAACGAAGGGTTGAGAATAGCGAAGCGGGTGCGTAGGAGGGAGATAGCGAGAGTCAATAAACCATGTAAATGAAGAATCTCTCGATGTAGGGTAGTCTGGGCCCGCATCGTGATGCCGTCCACAGGGTTGAGACCAGCCGGAGAAGGGAACATGGCGAGAGGAGGAGAATCAACTGAAAAACTAAGGCTCCAACAGGTTCCAATGAACCTAAAACTGGCTTTGACCGCTCTGGTCACCTTGTGCCTTGCCGAAATGGCTGGCTGCTTTGACCGCTGCGGTCACGTAAAGGCATGAGCCAACTTGGTATTCCAAAGATGAGACGAACATCCCACTTCTTGTGGCGTAAGCCATCTGCTGCCCGCTGTGGGCACTTACGTTTCCGGAGCAAGGGAAACAGCGACGTACACCCGTTCGACGGGTCTACAGAACCCCTCTGCGGGCTCATCCCGGGTTGGCACGAAGCCAAACACACTCATGGATATGCGTACTGACTTGATGGCGGTGCCACACGCCAGCCTAAGAAACCCAAATCCTGAAAGGACCAGGCAGAGCGGGCTGAGGGGTCTGAGTTCCTGTAGTTAAAGGCCACGAAGCGACGAGACGACAAGCTGACGGCGTTCCGTGCGTGTCTGCAGCAACAACCATGTCAATGTCAGTGAGGTTCTTGGCTTAGCCTCTCGCCATTCAAAATGGAAAAGGAAGAAGGGTGGCCACCAGCCGCGTGTTATAATGCGCCCAGGTGCACCAAGCAGGTACGTTTTCACGACAGCTTGGATGGGTCTTCGTTGGCCCATGCCATCCAAGTGTCCATGGGCCCCCTGCTCTAAAACTAAACAAATCCAGAAGAAGGATCCCTATGACTCCAAGGGTTACACACACACACACACACCGTCGTTTGGAAATTCCACTGGGTCCCACATGCCATTGCAATATAATATATTGCAATTGCAATTGCGCCATATGATCTGACGTTGCAGTTTGTATTTTTAGCAGTGCCGGTACTTTGTGTAGTCTGGCCCTATTCATGTTGTTTTCCTTGTAGCAATTCGTCGAAGAGACCGAGAGACTGATAAGTACCCCTTCTCGTGAGTGTTGCTTTCCCACAAACTATTTGGTGTGTTTGTATGTTACACCTTTCTTGGGCGGACGAAGTTCGACCCGACAGTGACCCGGTGGGACCGTTGGAAAGTTTGGAGCCTGCCACCATCGTTTTGGGCCAAGACGGAACTCCCAAGGTTCCGACTCTGGCAGTCCCATCCCTTTTGCTGGAGTGGTGCCTAAGAACCTGCCAGCACCTGAGGGACTTCCAGCCCCTTGGATTGTTCAGCGAGGTGTGAGAAGAGGATGAGATGAACTGATGTGTTCCACACAATTTTCAACCGTCACTTCACTTCAAAAGAGGCGACCTACCTGCCTTTCATTGTTGTATTGTGAATTGTGAACATGTAACCTTCAAGACAACAATTTGCTCGGTTCCATCAAATTTAAACGTGAGTAGTAGACGAGAAAGAATGGACTTAGCCAGTCCTCTATCCTAGACTTCTTGCAGGACCATGCTGTTGGAGTGGACATGCCGTGTTAAAACATATTATTGTGTTTGCATTTTCACAGTTATTTGTGGAGCAAGGACGCTACTAGGAGCAAAGGGCATCGCTACTAGGAGCAAGGACGCTACTAGGGGCTCCTGGCCGTACTACTAGGAACAAGAAACTACTAGGAACAAGTGTAGTGTGTACTAAATCACCGTTTTGTGCTGTGATAGTTGGACTCCTTCGTTACTTGCAATCGCCAGCTCATTGGGGGCGTGAGCAGTGAATTTGGTCAGGACCATAGGAGAAATGACAATTCCGCACGTGGGGCCAAAAAGACGCTGGCGCGCTGCGTTTGGTCAAATCCAGGCGACAAACATGTTGGTGGTGCTGTTTTGTTGAGAACTCAGATGTGGTGACCAGAGTGCGTTGTGGTCCATCAGAATCCCTTTGACTGGGACATCTCGATGCGCTTGGTTCATCTCCCGTTGAGGTGAGCAACATACTGGGTCCAAAGTGCCCAAGCCTTACAGAACTCATCATAACTCCTTGAGCTCAAACTCCTTATAAAAAGTTTATATAATATAACTCCTGGACTCCTGGAGTCCTATAGCTCCAAGGCTCAAAATAACTGGTCCCTTGGGACAAATGATGACAAATGAACAAACGCTTCAAAATCCCTACAGACGATCCCAAGAGGGAATGATTCTTGGCAGAGCAGAGTGGGAATCTGCAGTTCCTACGTAGACCCATCAAACCGAGTCAAAGCATGCTCAGGCTCACTTCCAAGCTCAAAGCTCTGATGTGGCTGATGTGGCTCGTCGGCATGGTGGGCTGAACGTGGTGGATCTCTCCTGGGCTGTCGTCGGGCGAACAAACGTGATGAACTCGACGAGCAGCCACACCGGCGGTGGTGGCGCCGACGTCGTAGGAAACCCTGGGAAGATTGATCATGGTCGTGGAAGCCCTGAACCTTATCATCCACAACCATTCGACTGATGAAAGGCTTTAATGCTCAGGTCTAGTCGCAGGTCAAGTCGCAGGTTTGTATCCTAGGGCGACATTTGAGAGCTCGAGAAGGATCCGATGGCTTCTGAATCTCCGAAATCCTCATGTCCGCCAACACCTCATGCTTTTGTTATGGCTCTTTTTGTCGCTCTCTTCCTTTGGCTAGCGGCTAGGTGCAGTAGATTTTTGGAGCGTACTCATCCAGTTTGACCATTTACACGGGTGAGGATCATAGCTTCGACTTGGTCTCCAAATAGATGGCACCTTGACATTGTCAAGCCAAGAGAGTTCATTTGAGTTCTCCCCTTGTGAGACACGATTTCCTTCTCGGTGAACGACAAGTCCCACGGCATCCCCTTTGAGACATCCCTGTCGATCAGTCCCATGGCTCCCCCGTGGTCAATCCCTGTCAATCACGGACTTCGTTCAGGTGAGCCTGGGAGGAGATGACTCCATCAGCCGCCCCACCACCATGCAAATCCTGCCCTTGCAGCGCCTGAGTGGGGTCGAACGCGCAAGGGCAGGTCACACTGCTGGAAGGTCGAGGGTTGATGAGCTCCTGCCGGCCAGCGAATTCCATTGCGGTGGCAAAACTGTCTAATTAGTGCCAGTGTCGGTTCACTTCGCCCCGTGTCCCTTCCGTTTCTCGTCTCCGCTTGCGCTTGGTTCCGGTTCGCAGAGCGGACCGCCCGGACCGTCCCAGCTGAGGTGTTGGCGCGAAAAGTGTCAAAGTGCTACGAGCCGTGGGCGGCGGCGGCGGAGCGCCACTGAGGGCGAGGCTCGAAGCTGTGGCACCGCCGATGAGGAAGACACAATGGCCCATAACTTCAAGCGTTTAGGATGTTGATGGCATTTGCATCTGCCAAGTTCTCTTTTTTTGAGCTCGTGGTGCTTTGTGTTGAGTTTGAACTGGATGTGTGCAAGCTTGGGGCCACCCTGTCCGGCCTTGAACAAGGACAACGACTGCTTGATATGATTCAAGGGATCTTCTCCCATTGCAAACCATTTCAAACGGTATTTTTTTGTTTGGAGAATGGTCTTTGGGTACTTGCGAATCCTGTTGCGTCTCCTGCTCCGCTTCGCGGATCCCTTGGGATCCTGCGGTGAGTGAGGCGAAACTCATGACACGCTCAGAGACCTTCGGCGACTTCTGGAACTTCACCCTAAACCCCACGGGCCACTTCAGGAACTTCAGATCTGTCGCAGATGTGGCAGTGTTTTTTGTTTTTTGCTCTTTTTGATATGAACAGATGGCCGGTGAACAGTTCGGGCCAAATCTTTGGGCCAAATCTTCGGGCCAGGTGGCTCATGTTCTCTCATGGACCTCTCCTGGAACCGGGTGACAGATCTCAGCGATGTAGAAGGAACATTGTTTGCATTTTGGTCACAGTCAGGCGAAACACAGCTCGGGCACAAAGAATGGTCGCTGGTGCTGTGCAATTACGTGGTTTTCTCCCTCGGCTTAAGCAGGTAAAGGAACAAACAACACGAAGCAGTCTCAGTGTCATGGGTTGAGTGCCTTCTTTGTGCCTGGCACCTTGCCGCATGGGATTCCGCCACAGCGATGAGAGCTTTGAGCGGTCGATGAACTGAAATGTGGCCTGATCATGCCTGTCCGTAACGGATTCTGACTAGGCAGCGAAAACAGCAAAACTGCGACCACCTAAAAAAGGCAAAAAAACACCGCAGATCACGGGTGACGGGCTCTGTATTGAGGGCTTGACCGCCTCCTCAGGCCAGGAGAGAAATCCTATGTCCGTCTTGCAGTCTTGCAGTCTGCCATAGCAACTGTCACTTTTGACTAGTCCAGAACCATCCGATCCTCATTTTTTCAAGAAATTCATCCTTGATGAAATTGGTGCGTGTAACTCTTCATTCATTCAAGGCCTGAGTCTAGAGTCTAGGACCATCTCCATATATCTCCATTCCTTCCAGGAACTTCTGGGACTTTTTGGCCATCCTCTGCTTAGTCTTCGACGCGATTGCTTTGCCTGTGCAGTTTGTGAACCACCAATTCTATGCGACGTATTCCTACTCATCCATCATCTCGAGGCTTCAGGCTGACCCTGCATGGTTGCCGAGCCTGTCGGTGTTGGTGTTCGAGTCTCGGATGTGTGGGGTTTCTCCAGTTCAATCAACCATTGGCTGCTGGGAGGTTTTTGTTTTTAGCCACACCGAGTACCTACTCCATTTGGCTGCAGTTGATTCGGATGGTTGCTGAGAAGGTACCCGAGGCGAAGTCCCCAGACCTGTGAAAGCAAAAGCGGTCTGAAGGGTCGAACTCGATTCGACCAAACACTCTCGGTCACCACAAGAACTGGATGGATTTGCCCCCAGATTTGCTCAAACTGGTGTTGGATCGAATGGACTAGCTCCCTCGAGTGTGGTTGTATAGACCAGCGCTTGTGATGTGGCAAAGACTTGCATTGCTGGCGCAACTTGGTTCATGCATGTTCATGCCCTGGGTGGTTATGTGTTGGGAATCATTCGGAATATCGTATGTAGATGTCCACCTGCTTCAAAACTATGTCCTTTCATAATTTTAAGAACAGCATGTTCCAGAAGTCGGTGTTCAAGTGTGGCTGCGTCCACAGGTCTTCTATTGGGCCTTCGATTTGATCCTCTCCTTCTTCACAGGACACAGTCACTGTGTGGCTTAAGAAGAGCTATCTGGGTATCTCAATCGGTTCGCAAATTCCGTGGAAGTGGTATTGCTTTCCTTCCGTCTCCCCATCCTCGCCTTGTATTTTGTGCATTTCTGCCGGTGGTTGTCGATTTCTTCTGTTTTGTGGATGGGTTTTGCTGTGTGGATTGCTGCGGCGTACGCTCTAGACTCTAGCTAAAGAATTGTGGCTGTCAGCTGCTTCAACGTCCAGCTTCCTAAACTACTTCCCTCCCTTGCAACCTGAGCTTTCGAGTAACTCTGCGTCAGCCTTGAGGCTGAATGGCAGGCTCAACAGTCAGTATGTCGCTCACCACCAAGCTGCC